AAAAAAAAAAAAAAAAAAAAAAAAAAGATAAGGAAGATCCTCTTAGGCCTCGTATAGTGGGATTTTATACCTTAACTGGTGGGAAATTCTCCATAAATATCTAATGTTTATTCAGCATAATCAATAAGAGAAAGTATTCAGTATCTCTTTTCTTACTTTCTGCAAATGACACTTACGATTGCACAGCTAGTTGGTTTCTGGAAAAACCATCCAGTTCGCATGCAAAAGCTTAAGTAACAAGTATACGTGTTATATCACTCTCCTGGATTAAGAAATTTCAAGTGAAAACACTGATCAATATAAGCTAACTGAATGATGCCCAACTAACAAGCAATGTTGGTTAATACAGAAAGTCTATTTTATATTTAAGGATCTTCATAGGGGTGCCAATTTTCACCTAAATATAGTAACCTACCCTCTACCGGAAACAGCCTCTCTACCTGCACAAGGTAGGGGTAAGGCTGCGTACACACTACCCTTCCCAGACCCCAATTTGTGGGATTACACTGGGTTTGTTGTTGTTGTTGTTGCCAAACGTCCAAGTTTCAATAAGTTGGACAAATATTAGATCCATTCACCATTACTTTGGGCTATGCCCGAATCAACCCGTCTCAAACACTAGGTATTTTGGGTCAAGTTGGATGACCAAATCAACCATCGTTGATACAAGAATTCTGCGTTCCAAGTCTTCCAACTGAAGATCTCTGTTTCTCGTCTTGCTTCAACAGTGTCATGTTGCTGCTGCTACAGCCAAGGTGGGTCCTATCTGCCTTTTTCCACCCTGAGAGCGACAGGAATATATTTTGGCTGTGAAACTAACTTGTGGTCCATATTTTGTTACTTAAAACAAAGTAACTTGTGGTCCATGCTCCATCCAGAATTGCACTTGATGGAATCTAGGATTTTCCTGTTGTGAACATCCATTAATCAGGGCTTCTGTTAATTTGGCATCGCTGCCTGGTGTTTGGTTTTCCTTTCTTTTTCTACTTTAAGAGCTGATACGCTGTTGATTGAATTTTGCTGTTATACCCAGTTTTAATGGATACAACTGAAGCTTTACGTTGGACGAAAGATTGGTTTAATAATTGCTCGAAATGATTTGTATTTGTTATTATTTATAAGGTATTTTATAAATGTTTAGTAACGAGAAGGTAGTACAGCAGTACAAAGGGGGAGACCAAGTTCACATATACACAGTTACAGATCATCTCTTCCAAAAATTCCAAAAGAAAGCTAAGTTTTCCAGCATGTTATTCTTACACCATGTCACCATCAGTATACTGTAAGCACCTATACTTTATAAAAGTAGACTGAAGTTTCTTTCCATCAAAAGTAGACTAAACCTTTAAGCACATATACTTTGTAACTTTGTAATGTGTTGCATTCAACTTAAAAGTGTATTCAATTGTTAATTCTCTCATTGCATGGGATATTTATTAACTCAGGAGAGAATAAAATCTTCCAGTAGAAACCAAACAAAATAATGTATAGTAAAAAATGGAGAAAAAAGGAGGAAAAAACTCAAGGTTAGGTTAATTTGGATGGGTTGACTTCATTATTTGACTCATCTTGACCCAAACTGCCTTTGGAAAATCTCATTCATTAATTCAACCCATTTTACCCGTCCAACTTTGACCCAACCCGCCCATTTGATACCTCTATTCTTAAAAGTGAAGCTATAAAAGTATATGTATATCTAACCTAAAACCTTAATACAGTAGGCAGGGTCACCTAAGACCGTTATAAACTCTTCTGGAAGCTCTTAAACAAATGTGGGACAACTATATAACTCAATACCTTCCTACACGTGTAACCAGATTTTGGAGTTCACATATTTGGGTTCACATGTTACTTAGTTCGGACTTACAAGTGTGCAAACGAGCTTACTAGAAGTTAGTTCAAATACCATGTGGAAGACCTTGAGCGTCCAACCCAAAACTTTGAGGCAAGACTTGCATAAACCACTTTGGAAACTGTTCTGCAAAGTTTTAAAACAACTATATAACTCAACCGGAGCAGTAAGGTTGTGACTTGTAATTTCCTTCTTTCAGACACAAGAACCATTGTGACAGAAAACTACCACCTAACCCCGTTCAACTTCCAAACCAATAGGACTGAAAATAGTTACTACGACTTTGAGTAAGAAGATGAAAGACGGAAAGAGGGGAAAAAAAGGAAAGAAAACAAAACATTTCACCTTCTGTAGGCAATTTCTCTTGTAATAGCACCTTTTCTGAGTCTTTCATGAGAATATTCCTGCACATGCAATCGCAAGAATGTTGGTAACATTTTCAGAAATTAATACTGCATGATTATGTTTCTGCAAGTAGCTTTGACAACGCATTACATTCTTGGACAAAAAATGAAGTCAAAACGCAGATTATTGAAGCATCAGAAGATAAGAATCATCTAAATTAGGGGAAAAGGAAAAAAAATAAGATGAAAGATAATTGAAGCATCAGAAGATAAGAATCATCTAATTTCACAAAAAAAGAAAAAAATAAAGATGAGATATCAAGTCATTCCCACGTTTCAGTTCCAGATCCTTATTCTATGTATTCCTCTCCTACTTGCTTAATAGCTTCTTCATAGCAAGTAGTATCCAACTTATATCAATGGTCTAAACAAAATTCTTTTGCTCTCCTCATTCAACAAAGACTCCTAAACATTCCCAAATTCTCTTGATTCCTCACTTATCTATATGATAGCTGTCCCAAAGCTTCAATTATTATTAATTTGACTTGGGTATTAAGAGAACCTTCTTATTCCACTTGTACCTTTGGTGTCAGGAGTAAATAGCTTGTTGTACATATAGTTCCAAACTTGTGACGTCCTGTATTATAGATACTTTTTACACCGATATGCGTGCAAGCCTTTCATTAACCGATAATGCCCTCATCATTTCTTCATGGAAGGAAGTTATCTCGAAAGACCTAAAATTCCTCGGAATCAATGCAAACTTAGCTAAAGATAGGACAGAATGGAAGAAAAAGATCCATATAGGTGATACGACTAGTTGGAAATAGCTTTTAAACTTGTTGCAGAACTTCTTGTATTATTATTATTACCTATGTTGCTCGGACTCTCCGAAAATGTGGCCGGATACGTGTCGGATCCTCCAAAAGTAGTGCATTTTTGAAGGATCCGACACGGGTGCGGCTATATTTTGGAGAGTCCGCGCAACATAGATTATTACTATATATATATATATATATATACACACACACCCCTTATTTCAACAATTTGCTACTCATCACAATGGCTGGATGCTTAGAAAAGACAACAATGTTACTTATCCAAGTCCTCTTTTTCTGTAAGAAAAAATACGAAAGCAAAAGCCAAGTACTAAGATAGTGTTGGACAGAACAAAGAGCATCCTCCCATTTAAGAGAACTCTTCAATTTAGTATCCACCAATGAAATCTGTCATAAGAGAGCTGACATGTATGATTCAAGAATCAAAATTCATTTTCTCTCTGCCCATCTCTGTAACTCCAAACCGATGGGAGGAATGGAACCTTCTTCAAAACTGCCAATCAGGCAACAGTGGACAATCTCTACCCTACTCTTAAGAGAGCAATCTTCAACTTTGAATTGATTGAAATCCAATTTCTTTTCATCTAACACTCTGACTTCTCACTTGGTCAAGGTTTGATATGAGCCACCCGCATAAAACTACCATTATTGTTGCTAACCATACTATCCCCAGATGGCACTACCCCTTTCTCCATGAATTTATGAATCTTTGAAGCAATCTCCATCCAACCTTCATTCTACCTGATTTCTGGTATCATGATGGATGATCTACCATCCCCTTTTATAGCTGCCTCTCATATATGTCCCAGACAAGTTGAAATTCTCGAAAATATGGTATAGATATGACTGGCTCTTGTGCTTCCAGCTCTTACTCACCTTACCTTTAAGATCTGAAGCAATCTTCATGCAGTGACATATGGCAAGTGCATTATTCCTGTCTAAGACGATTCTGCTCCCAAATTTCATTCTTCTTTCCACAATCTCAAACAAACTTTCACTCAACTCCACCAACTCACTTTCACTCCCGTGCACAAATAGCAAATTTCTTCCCATATTTCTCCCCATATATATCAAGTCAACCTCATCCAATCAACTTTCTAGTAGATGTAAACAACGCTTAAGTTACTCAGTTATTGAATTAGATTAACTCAATAAAGGGGTGATCAGAAAATAGAACATTACGAACGAGAAAGTTTTACAAATTGAAACGAAGGATGTTTAATGAACTGAATATTGATTACCGGAAAAAAAGGGATTTAAAAAAGGATGCTCTTTCTCTTCTACTTTTTACTACCTGACTTGCTAGTTTTCATTTAAATTATGTTGTTCATGCTCCCTTTAGAGAAAGGCTTGTTTAATCCTACTTTCAGACTGCTAAAATAGTTTCTTAGGACAATGCACTTCACAAATCAAGCTCCACATGTATATGCTCATAAATGAACATTGTTAATATTTTCAGTTATCTTTCCAACAATTTATTATTCATCACAATGGCTGGATGATTGGAAAACGCAGCATGGTTACTTTTCCTAGTCTTCTTTTTTAAGAAATAGGTAAGCAAAAGCCTAAGTACAAAGATAGTGCTGCACAGCACAAAAGAGCATCCTCCCCTTTAGAAAACTCTTCAGTTTGGTATCTAACTAATGAAATCTATCATAGCATACATGTGACAAATAACATCAAGGAGCTAAGACATTTATGTTTCAAGAATCAAAATTCAATAAATTATTCAACTTTTAAAAGTTGATTGGATATTTCTCCATAAAACTAAACTTTCAACCATTATTTAAATATTTACTACCACAATCATTAATACAAGTCAAATTAACATGATAAACGCGAAAGCACAGTCATCAAACAAAACAAAAAATCAGAAAGTATACCAAAATCTTAAAGCGGGGGAAATAGAAGGTGAAGCCAAGCAGAAGTCAAGCAGAGCGTCTTTCCTGCTGCCAATCCCAAATACCTCCACAAACTCAGTCTCTTCCCACACATTTTTTAACCCTTCTCCCTGCATATCATTTTCACGATTCCCTTCATAATTGTTACTGTCTCTGCTGTCGAAAATCGAGTTCGTTTCCGCTCGCGTAGGCTCGGGGCTGCATTTCAACTTGATTCTAATTCTCTGGTGTGGAAAAGAGCAAGAATTGAAGGGATTTGTCGGAGAAAGAGCGCACAGTGAACCGCGTGAAAATGCAGAGAGTCGCACTGAAATGGGAAGGAGAAGGTCCATGGTAGTAGCAGAGAGAGATAGGAAGGTGGAATATTTAACCTTTATAGCACGGTTTCCTGCGAGTGCAGCAGCGAGACCATTGCAAAGCTCAGGGAGTTCTTGAGAATGCGCCGCACTCTTTTTTCATGAAATGGGGAAAAGGAGCTCGTAAAAAATCTAGAGGCGCATCAGAGGGAAGGAAGGCCCCCAAACTATTAATAAATACAGTATCCTCCTTTAACTTTATTTTACTACCATTTGGTCCTTGACATTTATTTCTGTTTAGTTCCGGTTTGACAGTGCGTCCGGAAGAAGAGAGGGAATTATCTGACCCGGGAGGGATCACCGGAACCTGTTAATTTTGGCAAAGTCACTATATATATATATTTTGTGTATATAGGTATACATAGAGAAGGCCCCTCAAATATTTTATTGGTGCCTCAAAATCAAAAAAGGCCTCATGGTAAAGTTGGTTAGGTTTTCCTTTTACTTGACTGATTTGAGAGATTGTTATACTTAGTACTTCATCAAGTTCACTTTAAGTGATTTTTTGGTCTTTTTATGATCTATAATATTTGATTTTTTCAAATATCAAGGAAGAATTAACATTCTTTTTTTCAAAGTTGCCCTTATAGTAAAGACTCTTGGTTAATTGTATTTTTAATGAATAAATTAAGGTTAATATGATCAATTATATTGTTAATTAATATTAAAAGGTAGATTTCTTACTATGTGTGAAAACAACCAAAAATCACTTAAAGTGGACCAGATGGAGTAATCAACTGATTTATTTGTTTTATTTTTTTAAAATTCAATTATCATTTAATACTTGATCATAATTGTAAGCACATAAATTTTGTGGAATTAAACTTCATATTAATTTTGATATATTCCTAAATTCAATAAATGTCAAGCTCAAATTAAAATTAATTATTTAAGTCCACCATGGATTTAAATTAAAGTTCAACTTTATTTGGGCCAATTCATTTAGTTGGACTCCAAAAGACAAACCCATTTTGCTAGCCCAAAATCCAAATGGCTAGTAGCCCATCTTAAAGTCCATGCTCATGCCACATGTCAAGTGACGTGGCAATTCAAGTCAAATAAATGAGCCAATATAATCATGACACTTGTCAAGTGATGTGGCAATCCAAGTCAAATAAATGAGCCAATATAATCACGCCATGTGTCAAGAAGGGTGGCAATCCAAGTCAAACCAACAACTAATAGAGTTGTGCCAAGTGTCTAGGTGGTATTGGTCAGTTCAAACGGACCGATCAAATCGCAGAGCCACACCCTCCCTACAACTATAAATAGAAGTCTTCATAAAGCTAGAAAACACCAGAAGTGATAACAAGAAGCAAGTAGAGAGCTTGTAGATCAAACACCGCAGATTTCTCTACAAGCTACAAGTTCAAGCACTCAAGTTACAAGTTCAAGTTCAAGTTCAAGATCAAGAACGAAGCCAAATCAAATACCAAGGCGTTCAAGATCAAATTACTTGTTCGTGATCAAACACAAATTCAAGTTCAAGGAGGAGATTCAAGATCAAGCTTTACAAGCCCTTGAATTAAATCAAAGTCAAGCTCGCTAAGATACTTTACATTCTTGAAGAATCGGAGGAATACCATAGAGATTGTAACACTTTCATTTATTGAAATCAAATACTACATTTGTTACCCAATTTTCCAGTCTTGATTATTTATTTTTCTCGACGAGAAAATTTGTTGATACAAATTTCTGGCACGCCCGGTGGGACTATCTCTACCTCTCATCTCTTCAAATTACCAAATTTCAAGAACACAGAAATGGCTCCTAAGAAGATCAACTTCAAACTCACTACTACTAAGGCTACAGATTCCAAGTTTTCATCTGATGTGGAAAACTTGTTGGATGTCACTATGGAAAGCGTAGGATCTGTCACTAGGAATAAAGCAAACTTGCTAGGACAAAAAACATTTCAAATGTCGTCTGCATCGGTTCCTATCTTTGATTTTCAATCCTCAAAGGGGGCAAGATCCTTTTCAACTAAATTGGAAGAAGGAGCGAACATTGCTGAAATTATTGAAAAGGCATTGGCTCTACTTAGCCCTTCTAGATCTAAGAATCTCATCACACAGGATGTTGATGATGTCTTGATCACTGGATCTGCTCCAAGCACTCCATGTGAGTTGTTCCAGTCAAAGTATGGTGTAAGAGAAAATCCATGCTTTGTTTCACCATTCATGACGGTTATCCAAGCAATGGTGACTAATACTTCAACAGTTGAAGAACAACTCGCAAATTTAACAAAGGCAATTGAAGGGTTAACGAAGCATATGCAAGATCAAGATAATCAAATTTTCAAGCTGACAGATAGAGTTGAAAGCATGATGGAGGGAGATTCAAGTCATGCACCTAGAAAGCTCCCAATGATGTAAGATAAAGGAGACTCATCTGCAAGGCAGACAACGGCTCCTAAAGAATTTCAGATTTCATCTGATGAGGTTATTCCCATTGACCAATTAAAAGAATTCATTATGGGAACCATCAAAGATAAGTACGATGTTGCTGCCAAGTCTTCTCTTGCATATGCGAAGCCATACACTACGAGAATTGATAGTTTGAAGATACCTGCAGGTTATCAACCCCCAAAGTTTCAACAATTCGATGGTAAAGGAAATCCGAAGCAACACATTGCACACTTCGTCGAAACTTGTAATAATGCTGGAACCTATGAAGATTATCTTGTCAAGCAGTTCGTCTGTTCCTTAAATGAAAATGCTTTTGATTGGTACACTGATCTCGAAACTGGTTTCATCGATAGCTGGGAGCAACTTGAACATGAATTTCTCAATCGCTTCTATAGCACAAGGCGCACTGTAAGTATGGTTTAACTCACAAATACGCATCAATAAAAGGATGAACCAATTGTTGATTTCATCAATCAATGGAGGAATGCGAGCCTCAATTGTAAAGACAGACTTAGTGAAGCTTATGGAATAGAAATGTGTATCCAAGGAATGCATTGGGGACTTCACTACATCCTGCAGGGTATCAAGCCTAAGTCTTTTGAAGAATTGGCTACACGTGTTCATGATATGGAGCTAAGTATGTCTTTAAGCGTAAATCAAGGGCCACCTGTTTATGAACCTCGCAAAGTGAAGGATAAACAAGAAATAAAGAAAGGAGGCAAGTTTTTGCCGAAGTCTGAGAGCAAGAAATCAATGAATGTTAATGCCTCGCCATTAAAGGTCACTACAAAAGTGAGTAAGAAGCAAAGTGTGAAGACAACGTCCTTACAGGATAAAGTTGGCCGAAAGTTAACTCTGAAGGAAATGCAAGCGAAAGAATATACATTCTTGGACGCCGATGTCCCAGCAATTTTTGAAGAACTCCTTGAGTTACCCGAAATGAAGTGGCTAGATGAATCTGGAAATACTAATAATCCAAATTATTACAAGTACCATCGGTTGATTGGCCACCCTATTGAAAAATGCTTTGTTTTCAAGGAGAAAGTCATGAACTTGGCCGATGAAGGAAAAATCTTGCTTTAGGATGAGAAAGACAATTCGAATCAAGTCTCTTTCATTTTTGGTTCACTTGATCCCATTGTCCTTTGCAATGTTGTCGAAGTATATGAATGTGATGGCATCCAAACTGCATCATTACCAAATATGATTAAATTTGGTGACTTTGAACCTATTGATGTGACCAAACCATTGCTTCTCCCTATGGTATATAAACTAATAATGGAGGAAAGATCTCAAGAGAAAGGTGAATCACGTGATGATCAAACTAATGATGAAGGTTGGATTCTTGTGACTCGGCGGAGATGTTGCAAGACAAATTCACAAAGGAGTCAAATAACCAGTTGACTAGGGTAAAATGGTGAAAAGACCCAAGAAGAAAATGATAAAGAAGAACTGGAAGAAAACAAAAATGACGGAGAATCACTATGAAAGGCTACGTTGTCCAGTGACATTGGAGGAATTCCTGCCAAGCTGGTTACACCCACGAGCTTCCTGTGAATATATCAAAGCCTCATGTTGTAAGATAGATAAATAAGAGACAAAGAAGGAGGATCCATTATTGCTGCCACCTCCCTTGCCTAAAAATTCACTAGGAATTCTGAAGAAGTGGACGTTTGTGATGCAAAATCACATTTACTAATGATGATCTTTTGCTTGGTGAAACACACCATAATCGCCCCTATTTATGGTTGGCTTTGTGCGAGAACAGAGAATAAGTAGAATCTTGATCGATGATGGGTCTGGTGTCAATATTCTCCCAATTCGTACTGTCAAAGAGCTTGGCATACCGATGGATGAACTATGTGAAAGTCATTTGATGATTCAAGGGTTCAATCAAGGGGCGCAAAGAGCTATAGGAGCTATCAAATTGGAAATAAATATGGGAGATTTGCATTCGAGTGCATGGATGCACGTGATTGATGCAAAGACCTCATATAATATCTTGTTAGGAAGGCCATGGTTACATGAGAACAAAGTGGTTTCATCTACCTACCATCAGCGCTTGAAATACTGCAAAGATGGGGTCGAAAAAAAGATAATTGCTGATGATAATCCCTTTACCGAGGCTGAATCATACTTTGCCGATGCAAAATTCTGCTTAAAGNATAAACGAGAACAAAGTGGTTTCATCCACCTACCATTAGTGCTTGAAATACTGTGAAGGTAGGGTCGAAAAGAAGATAGTTACTGATGATAAGCCATTTACCGAGGCTGAATCATACTTTGTCGATGCAAAATTCTACTTAAAGAATTACGTCTCAAAGGAGGTTAAGGTTAATAATGTGATGTTGACCAAAAGTGTTGTAAAGAAGGTTGATGTCACAACTAGCAAGGAAAAGATTATAGTTGAAAATGATCCGGTGCTTCGTGATAAGAACAAGATGAATGAGGCATCTTCAAGTAAGAAAGTGACTCATGTTCTCTGTTATGTCCCAAAGGCAAGGAAGGTCGAAGATCCATCTTTTGAGCTACAAGGTAAGGTGTTAGGAGACTTGACACTTCCTATCAAGTGAATGGATGCAATTAAGTCGTCTACAAAGTTGCTTAAAGGGTTTGTCAAATCATCAAGCCACAATTCGCTTCTAAATCTAGCACTTCCTACAAAGTGCACAGATGAGGGCTTTAACCCAAACGCTTACAAGTTGTTAGCAAAAGCTGGATATGATCCCAACAAACCATCCAAGTTGGGAAAACTCCCACCTGAAGCTTCAAACCCTACTCAAAAGATGATGATGGAGAAAGGGTACCCACTAAAGCAATCACGAGAAGGATTGGGTTACAAACAACCCCCGCCAATCCGTATCTCCATTAAAAGGGCAAGTTGTAACTACATTACTACTAAAGAAGTGTCTACGATGCTTAATAAGAAGCCCTTTGTGTTTAATCGACTTACGAAACCAAGGACCTCAGTCTTTGATAGGTTGGGACCACTGAAGAAGGAAAACAAGCGTCATGGAAGTGATAGAAGGATTGGAGTACCTATCTTCGCTAAAAAAGAGATTTTGACCACGGACTGCCCAAGTCTGATTCCTTCCAGAATGAGGCGAGAGACCAAACTTGTAGTTTCGTGCGAAGAGGTCCTCAAAGCAAAGGCTCATACTATAGTACACACTAAAGAATGGGAAGAAGATGAAGAAAGTATGGGGTCATCATATCATATCACTATTCATGATGAACAAAATGCTTCATCTTATACGGAAGTCGAGGAAAAGTGCCTTGATATTCATGTATGTCATCACATATCTTTCAATGATGGTGATCCTCAAGAGGATGAAGACACTAAAAATGCACCACCAGAGCTTGAAAAAGGGGTGAAGACAATGGTTGATGCACTAAAATAAGTCAATCTCGGAGTAGTTGAAGATTCAAATCCCGCATATATAAGTGTCTCTCTAATTGGTGATGAAGAGAACAAATATATTGAGCTACTTAAGGAGTTCAAAGACGTATTTGCTTGGAGCTACAAAGAAATGCCAAGTTTAGACCTCAAGGTGGTTGTTCATCATCTTGCTATCAAACGAGGTGCTCATCCTATAAAGCAAGCACAACGTCGCTTCAGACCTGAACTGGTTCCGTTGATTGAAACCGAAGTTAACAAGCTTATTGAGGCTAGTTTTGTTCGTGAAGTTAAATATCTTACATGGATTTCAAGCATCGTCTCTGTAAGAAAGAAGAATGGCCAAATCCGAGTTTGTGTTGACTTTAGAGACCTAAATAACGCTTGTCCTAAGGATGAATTTCCTCTTCCTATCCATGAGCTCTTGATTGATGCAACAACTGGATACAAGGCAATGTCTTTCATGGATGGTTCATCTGGATATAATCAAATTCCCATGGCACTGAAGGACGAAGAACTTACTGTCTTTCGCACCCCTAAAGGTATATATTGCTACAATGTAATGCCTTTTGGTTTGAAGAATGCTGGTGCTACATAGGGGTGGGCATCGGTCGGTTCGGTTCGATTTTGAATATTATCGGTTTTGCCTATCGGTTATCGGTTTACAAATATCATAACCCGATAACCAAACCGATAAGATATTGGTTATGGGTTATCGGTTAATCGGTTATTGATCATTATCGGTTCGGTTATCGGTTTACCCGATAAGGTAAAACTAAAACTAAGAGTGTTGATTGCTGAACGCTGAATATTACCTAAAATTAAGAGTGTTGAACGCTAATATTTGTACAAAGTAAATTTTGTACAAAGTTTACTGGAAGCTGCTATATATGACACTTCAAGCTAAACTACAGCTGAGTAACAAGAATCAAACTACAGCTGCTATATTGAACACATATAACGACACATAAAAAAAATATGATAACAGAAAACTGCACACAAAGCTGCACATAAAACTAACATTTCTCACAATAATTTCAGTTTAAAGTTAAACTTCTCACTGAATAATTTCGGCACACAAAACTGTACATTTTTTGCCTCAAACTAAACATACCCAGTACGGCAGTACCTCAATTGCCTGTGCATACAAAATGCAAATAGCTCAAATTCCAATCTAACAAAAATAGGAGATAAAAAGATCCCAACTTTCACAACCCAAAAACAGATATATATACAGTAATGTCCAAACTCCAAAGTAATAGTTCAAACACATTAATAACAATGCAAAGTAGTATCAACCTTAGGATTAACAAGTCCAATTGTCCAAAGTCCAAACATAATTCATAAAACAAGATGACAATAACTACATCTTACTTTCCACCATCCATCATCACCTTCTTCAATCCTTTCATAGTGACTCCAAACATGTGAGATAGCTTTGAGACCACAAAGTCGAGGCATGGTTACACCTATTAAACATAACAAGAAAATATATTAAGCAAGTAATATTTGTAATCATACTATGTATAACATATAAGTTGAATAATTAACTTACCAAAGTTTTAACTTACAACTATCTAAGATTCTACATATCATCATCGCAGGGTTCGTTTCCAAGATTGGCAAAATCTATGATAATATATATTAACAAGTCAAACAACAAAAATATTAAATAAACTATTTATAAAAATAATATACAATCAAACAAATTAAAATATTGCTACCTTGTTCTAGTTGCTCGAGAACATCTAAATCTTCCTCAACACTTACAGGTAATGGCTCACTTCGAAGCCAATCTTGAAGGCACAAGAGAACTTCCACCAATTTAGGAGTCAATGAACTCCTAAATGAATCAAGAATACGCCCTCCAGTGCTAAATGCACATTCAGATGCAACACTTGAAATAGGAATAGATAATACATCCCGAGCCATCTCAGCAAGAATGGGGAATCTAGGTGAGTTTACTTTCCACCAAAGCAATATATTACCGTCTGCTATTTCATTTTCAACTTCTTCTGTTAGATATTTTTCCAATTCTGATTTAGAATCTGAACCTCCAATCCCAGCTTTATGTCTTTTTAATTCTTCAAAGAAAGAACCAAAAGATCCATTTGAAGTTTCCATTGTGTCCAATGAAGAGTTAGATAAACATGAAGAGGGACGACAAACTTTATCTTTTGAATAAGACTTTACATACTCATCAAACAATGAAGTCATGTATGTATGTACTCCCTTCGCGATAATTGGCCCTTTCTCTTCGAACATCTTCGCAAGTGCAAAACTAACAGAATCAAACTTGTACCGAGGATCCAAAACACATGAAATGAAAATCATTTTGTTCATTTTTTCTGGATCACCCCAATACTTATCAAATTTCTCCTTCATCTTCTTTGCCATTAAACCCAACAAAACATCTTCATTTAATATCAATTGTTTCAAGTAAACAGCAACTTCACAAATTTCAAGAAAATGATGATTTGATGTAACATAAAGTGAGCCAAATACCTTTACAGTAAGCTTATAAAAGATTTCAAGAAATTTTGTCAATTTCTTTACATCCTCCTAATCACTACTCAAAAGTGTACCTGCAGGACTTCCATTTACAATATCAACAAACTCAAGATGAT